AAAATATAAAAATTGACATTTTTTTTTTGTAATAACTTTATAGTACAATATAATATATTGGTCAGCTGAAAATTCTTTGGCCTTCCTACAGTTGTTAGCATTTCTTTCAAAAAGTTGAAATGACACCCCTAAATATTATTTTAAATAATAATTTAAATATTTGACTTATCCTCTATCTATAAGAAAAAAATATTCTAATTAATAATTACCTCTTCATAATTTTGTAATGTTAAACGTATGAATCTTGTGAACAATCGCTGTCGCCGGTCAATGAATTTAAAATAAAATAAATAATATGAAAAGTACGTACTATAATCGACAACAGGTAATTTTATACGGGTATATCACCACTTAAAAAACATTACCGACTAGAGACTTGTTACGTAGAATTACCTATTGGCTATTACTTGCTATAGGTAATATTAAAAAAAACGTTAAATGTCTAAATTAAACAATGACTGATAAAACTGATTTTTCGAGCACATAGAATAGACCACCAAAACAACTAGTTCAAATATTTAAGCAATTCAATTACAAAGTACCTATTAGTAGATATTAGATGATATTACTATGCAGAGACACAGAGTACGGAACAAGCATAGAGAATGTCATATCAAATACGACTATACGACTCCATATTTCCATAATCAATGTTAAAAGGGTGGGAAAGTGGATGTTGTTCTGCTGTACAGTAGGTTACAAGTGGGTAACTGTAATGGATGGTGTTAAATTTGAATTCAATGATATAATATCATTGTATAAGAAAAACGATCCTGAGAGAAAACGGTCAGTAAGCCTATGATAATATTACGAAGTATATTTGATGATATTAAGGTGAATAAAGTAATTTATATATAACCTATTTATGTGGAATCTTGTTTTAAATTTTCAATTCTTAGCTATAAAAGTTGAACATTTTATAATTTTTAACTACAAAATTATTATTAAATTTTAAATGTGATAAATTTTGTCAAAATTTGAACTTTAAATGCTTATAAAAAAATGGGGCCTATGTATTTTTAATATTTTTCAACTGCTATTTTAATAATATATCAGGAGCTATGCACTAAATTTTCACGCTTTTTTACACAACAAATAAGATTATATTGATATTCATAGAAAAAAAAATTTAAAAAATTGAAAACTGAAAATGTCCGTAAACAGCTCAAAATAAGTCAAAATATTTGGAAACTGTTATGGTGTATAGAAAATGCTAATATAAACATTTAGTTAAAATTTCGTGTACCTACGGTCATTTGTCTAAGAGTTGCGCCTAAAACCAAAATCGATTTTTTAGAAAACAGATTTTGAGTACAAATTTCCCGTTTTTCCTTAATTTTTCTTTTGTTTATCACGGTGCTTTTGAAAACTACTGGACAATTTTTACTTTTGCCCCCCAAAAGTACCAAATACCTATCAGAAAAGATACTGTTGAAGAAAATCTAAGCATTTTTACCGTCCTTAAAGGTGATGACAGACACAAAAAAAAAACACACATCTTTCAATACATTCATGGCTCCGCTCAGAATGTAAAATAAGTTTTATTATTCTGTTCATTGTGTAGTGTGTACAGTTTAATTTAGAAATGTTAAATTAAGTTTAAGAAATGTTAGCAATGTACGTTTACGTGTATAAATATACTATTTATAATGCCTAAATAATTATTAAAATGAATAATGTCAAATGTTAAATGGCATTATTTCTTTTTTGACACGCATCCAACGCTAGTGTGCAATGATTGTAATATTCACCATTATACCTAATATGTCCTAGCCCCTAGATTGCCGACTGGCGACTATATACTGTTAAATGTAACGATGCATAATCAGTAACGGTTCTGGGTGGATCATGCTGAAAATGATATAATATTACTGACTACTGTCCCTCTTTTGCAAACGGTAATTATGCCATAATTGTGTTTGGTCATATTATATTATATTACACTGTTCTAGAGTATTATATGCTCGGTATACAATGACATGATTGTACAATGATATCACATGTTATTGTGCTTACCAGTCTCCAAAACCGAATAGTCAAAGTGAATTAAAACGAGTGGGGGGGGAGGGGTCGAATACATAATATTTATATTATGTATTATTCGTATGATATTTGAGTATAAAGAATTTCACTCAAAGTGTCAATTTTCAATATGTAGGTACTAACTATAAGTACTACTATACTATATACTATGTGCAAATACTTCGGTTACATGGAATTGAACAAATTAATATTATTAAGGTATTCATATATTATATACCACATTTTAGAAAAATGTTTTGATTGAATATTCAATGGTAGGTATACCTATTATAATATAGGTTATTAAAGTATGTAGTTTCTTAGATTATATGATGATTAAAACAATGTGAATAAGTCAGTACTATGAAATTAAATTATTGTACATGAATAAAAATAACTGGACGTTATCGTCATCGATAACAATATAATCAAAATCATTTAAATGTGTGTTCGTAATTTGAAATCTACTATTATACCGATATAATTTATACGTACGTGAACGGTTATTGTTAAATCTCAAAGAATAATGTATGTGTGTAAGAACTAAGAGTAATAATAAGCGTTTTGTAAAATATATAAAAAAAAAATTGAAACACGATAATCCGCAAATGTCTGTACAATTATATTATGACGCGTTCGGTGTCTGTGCGGTTCGCTCTGAGAGCTTCTTGTTTAAATTTAAAAAATTGGTAAAACTTAAGAATTTGGTGATCGCTGGTGCCTGGTGTATACGGACATACGGTATTACGGTGTACATATTATGGTGCGTAGTGGACAGCGTATATCATAATACAAGGAACGACGCATTTATAGCTCGCACCTGTGGAGCGTGCCAAGGAAAACGCACACACACTCTGAAGGTAAAACATGGATAATAAAATATATAGGGCTATCATCGGTTACTATGGTATACTTGAGTGTTAATTCCTGTGACCCGAGACCACACTACCGCGGCACCAGTTTGAAATGTTGATTATTATTTTCTCGTACAGTCGTGTCCTATTATTATTTGCACTATGTAGGCAGGCATAGACGATATTATTATCACAGAATACTGCGATATCAAAATTGGATTAATAAAAAAAAAGCTCTCGTTGGCGAACGATTCGAGAAAACCCAACGAACGTGGTCCACGGGGCACGGGATATAATATCATATTGTTGTAGACCTAAATCGAAAATAAAACGATTTGCAATTTTTTCTAGTTTAGACGAAATGACAGCAATATTTTTGTAGGTACATGCATGTATGTAATACACAACATATTATTAATTTACAATTATTATCAAATGTATATCTAAGAACCACATATAATTATGTTTTGAATTTGATTCAAATGACTTAGGATATTTTTTAAAGTAGCAATTGGACATAATGCAATGTATACGTATATCCTTAAAGGTACTATGCATTGTATAAAGTTCACTGAGTATTTACTATTTTTATTGACCTATTTTTTTTTTCTTGAGGGACGACAATAATTGCAAAGTAGTTACCATAGTTATAGCTTTACTCAACTTTTAAGATCAAATTACGTTTTACTAAAGACAATGGAAATCGTCTTACCATTTTTTAAAGCTATTAAATATTAGGCATTTAACTATTTGAGTATCTTAGATATTGTTGAAAAAATAAATCTTTATCTTCAAACTATACGCAGTTTGTAATTCATTCAAGCATTCCTATCTGCGAGGCTCGAAATTTAGTTTTTTTTAATACTTATAGGTATCGGTCCTAGATTAGGCTTATAATATTATGATTTATGAATATTAATTTTTATCTAAAACGTTTAACGGTTAATCACATATGCGCTATAATTATTTTTTTGACTGCACGCATATTCTCAATATATATATGCAATGAATATTCTAGTGCATAATATACATCAAATGCAACCTCAGGCAAAATATATAATTAAATCTTATATGCAATAAATTATTAAATGTACCGTACAGTATACAGATTGGTAATTAAATATTTAAGTCAAAATGAAATATATAAAGCATCGGGTAGAATTACGCGAGCAAACGATATAAACGATTGATATGCATACAATATATTCGTTGAAAATTAACCGTTTCGTGGTTGGCAGTTATTTTGATATCCATATAGTTGTACCTAATGCACCGATATTATAATATCATAATAGCCATAGGTGATCATAAAATCTTTATTCGAAATAGTCGGTAGTCCAGCGACCCGATACGAGTTAAGAAGAATGTTCAAGACACGTCTTCGTAATATGCGAAATACAAAAACTTGTGTTCATAAAGTGCAATTTGTCTGAGTTTAAAGTACTGCGGTAGTGTAGTACGCAGTTGCACACATAAAACGCGGGTTAAGCAACTATAGGAGTTGAGTGATTGTAGAGGTTTTAGGTATATATACAACTTAAATGCATACGACATTGTTCAATAATAATTATAATATGGAGCAGGAACAATATAAATAAATAATTATGTGTTATATTATTTTCATTTATAGATTATTCTTATAATGGGGCACGCTTGTCAAGAATCGATTAAATTAATTTATTTCAGTGTATTAATCTATTTTGTTTTATTGTGTGTGATTAATGACTCGCGAACACAAAGAAAAACGATTACAAATCATTTTAAAACCATATTAACATATTATATATAATGGACATATAATCGATTAATGCAACTACGTGCGCGCTCAAAGATAATATAAATGGGTATAATTAATTTTGTGTTAATGATTTCTGTTTTCATTAGATATCACTTGTTTCGCATATTTCTACCGATATTGTTGTCCAACAATAATAGTAATTAATTCTGCTGTTAAGTTATTTTACGTATGTATACATTTTTTTTTTTATTGCTTTTTAACAATCTATTATACTATTACTAATATATTTTGTTTTATACGAGTTTTTACGTTCGTAAGGCGGTACGCAATTTCTTGCGATTCTCGAGCGAGGTCAGTAACCCAAAAACGAAAATTTGTCTACTCACTTGGGTAAAGGTGTAGGTACAGCTATTTCTGTTTGAGACCATGACATAGGTGGACTATTTGAATCCGAATCCGGTGTTGCGCTTCTTGATCTGGAGCTGGAACTCAAACTCTGAAACAATGGACAACACATGTCAGACACTATGATTCTAGTTGTAAATATGAGAAAGACTAACGAATATTGTTAGAAAATAATTCAGTCCAACAAACTGCAACACGATATTATTCAAGTGTATGAACCTATAGAGCATATACTTCTATACCATTTGTATTTTTTGTAATGGATCAAAAAAAACACAGTAAATATTATCACATGCGTGTATACTGTGGGTAAGTGGCCTAGGAATTTTATCACAATTATAGGCAACGTAAGGTATGAATTACAATCAAAAAAAAAAAAAAATAGTAAATAATTCGATAAACAGTTTCTGACAAGAACATATTATTAAAAAAAAAGTATTGTTTAATCGTCTAAAGATCTGATCTTTGCAAAGTCGGCACATAACCCTAGATAATGTAACGGAATATATTTTTCGAATACTTTTTTTTAGTAGATTTAGATTTCAATAGCAAAAATATTATTTTTTCAATTTTATGTTTATAAATGAACATTATTATAATCTCGATAATACACACCTATTTGGCTATCTATTAGTTATAAATTATATTCAAATTAATACGGTTAATAATTAATAATTAGTAATATATTAGAGTATTCCTATATAAGAAAATAAGTATTCCGAATAGTGCGAATACTGTACTCCGAATACTCGTAAAAAGTATTCAAAATACCGTATTAAATACTTTCAAAAAAAAGTATTTATAAATTATTCGGAATACTACCCAAGTCTGTCTATAGTATAATCAAACGCTCGAAAAGCACCATGGATATTTTGTGGTCAAATGTAGCATCAAAACGAGTGATATATTATCATAGATGTATAGGTGTTATCCAGGCCCTATTTTTATGTGCACCACGACACACAATGTGCACTACGAATATACAAGTGTGCACTACGATTTGAACGTGTGTGCACTACGGTCTACAAAACAAAAAAAGCCAAGTCAGGGATCGGCATGTAAACTTTCTTGATTTTGAATTTTTAGAAATTTTTTAACTGATTTAATCACACCCAAGCGGTCAAACAATATGAAACCAGAAAAATGTCGGCGTGAACAGCCCCACAAAAAATCATTTTCATTTTCATTTAGTGAGATAGATCTCCGAAACCGGACAGCGGATTTCGTTGATTTTGGTCTTGTTAGATTCACATTGGTTAGGAGAAGTGCAGTGAAGATTTGCAGAACTTTATCTTTAATAGTTAATTCACTACAGAACATTAAAATAAATTAAAACAAATTTTATTGGGCGTTTTTTTATGTTTTTCATCTTTACAGCTTTGTAATGAATTAACGATTTTAGATAAAGTTCTGAAAATCTTCACTGCAATTCTCCTAGCAAATGTGAATTTAACAAAACCCCAAACAACAAAATCCGTTCTCCAGTTTCGGAGATCTACATCTCTAAATTAAAATCTAGAGAAAATAACTCTTTTTTTTTTTATCTGTGAAAAATTAAATAATTAAAAAAAAAAATTAATTCCACATTTAGTGTCTACCTGATAATCCCTTTTTAATGAGTTATCAACCAAATTTCTAGCTAGGTATCATAGTTTAGGATAAAAGTTAAAAAATAGAAATTTTGGGACTGTTCACGCGAATGTTTTTATCGATTCAAATTGGGTATACCGCTTGGGTGTGATATAAAATCTCTCTTATTAATATTTTATATTAAAGCTAGCTAAATTACCCACCTATTCATCATTACTGAGTTACATTTTTATTATTTTCCTATTTAACACAAATTCTTGAAGTTTTCAAAGTTCAGACTTTTTTCATTTCAATTACTATACTTACTTGATGAAAAATCAAGAAAGTAATATGCATTGTTATGATTTTAATTATTAAAAAGTTAAGTTAAGGTTTTTATTATTATATTATGCTATATGATTTTTATGATTTTTATTAAAAGATAAGTATTTTGTTGTTTTAATGAATTGCATTGTTAAATTATTGTATACATATGGTATATAATATATATATTATATATGTAATATGTATTATGTAATACATTCCTTTTGCTAAGATGGTAGCGAGAATAAAATGAAATGTGCAGTCCGAAATTTTACAAATAATAGGGCCTGGTGTTATCCATAGATAATACATGTTGGATTGAACCTTAAAAATAATAATTTTATATACGTATGATACGTATAATACTAAAATGTGTACTTATGTTGTATTTAATTTCTAAATTAGTGTTTGTTTTATTATTTTTTTTATCTATTAACCATATGTTTATCAAACATTTTAATACTGAATACCTAACAGCTGATATTGGCTATCAAAAGCTTATCAAATCGATAAGCTGTAACGGGCAAGCTGTGTATAATTTTTATGTTGATTTTCCATGTAGCCCGTTACAGACCAACCCCCGCTGGGCCAAAAATCGATATGCTTTTGATCGCCAATAACCAAAACTTTAGTAATTTTGGATCTCTTCGGGCATGTTACCCATATGATTTCCAACATACTAACTAGTCAATGGAGGCATATTTTTTATATATTTATCTACGCACGCGACGTGAAAATATGCTGTCATTATACACTTAACGTTGCTGCACAATTTTATTATAATTATCGAATACCTTTTCCACCTGCGTTATGATAAATATTATTAGTATTTATTACTAACTACGGTCGATGAATATTAAAGATGAACCTTGTAGTCATTAATAACCAGGACAAACATCCACAGATGTATAAAAATATAATATAATAATTTAATGCACATACGCAAGTACATATAGCATAAAATGTTAATGTGTAGACGCATTTATAATTATTTGAAATCAACTACAAACCTACATTTTTTTCCAAAGTATTCCATTAGTTCATCAGCATTAGGTATATAGTGCAGGTTTGTTTTGGGGTATATTATTATTTTGTTTGAGCATAATTCCAACTTAATAGTCACCGCCTAAATTGTATGAGGACATATTTTTAACTCAGCTTATCCGAAATTATAGATACTGTTTCATTAGACTTTAGTTTTTAGACTCACATCGTAAACACAAAATACACAATGTCTAAATTTGTATAAATAATTTAGAGATACATAAATAACAAAATGTGAAATAATGATATTATACTTTTAGGAATTAAGTACTATCATTGTCATTGTCATTGTATTCTCTGTGTTGCAGTCCAAACGGAATTATCGAATTTATAGGATTTCTTTAATCCTTCAGTCACGAATAGAATATCAGACACCGGCGTTTTATGACGTATAATAATATAATATATTATCAAATAATGTACGGATTACCTATATAGGAACTTAGTAATAATGGATTATCTGATGCAGTTAAAAAAAATCATAAATTAGCGTTAAAGTACCTACTGTAACACCTAGACGCTCATATAAAAATGTAATTTATACAGTAAATCCCAACTATAACCAACAACGAATCTTCCACAATAAATACATTATACGCAATTGTAATACTTACAATCGCCCAAAAATGTCTGACGATTAGTATTAGATTGATGAGTCTTAGCTGCAGTAGCAAGTATAATACGTATTCAAGTGTACTTCGTATTCCATATTTCCGGTCTATTTTTGTAAAGTTATAAAAAATAAAATAACGAAAACTTTTAGTGAAAACCCTATAACTATATTAATTCATGATCCCAAATATTATTAATAACACTAATAATGTTGAATGACCGTTGAGCACATCCCCTGTATAGTTTTCTACGGCAAATATACCACAAACTTACTTCAAAGTCGCGGAAAACGTCTCTGATGTCAGGTTTCTTATGCCTTGCCTTCAGCTGTCTGCCCCTTTGTCGGACCGTATGATTGAGTGAATGCACTCTTAGCCTGACAGCGTCTGCTTGTCTGGTGGACAGATGTCTGATCGCCGGTTCGAGTTCCGAATCCGGGACTTCGCACCCGTTCTCGAACGATTCAGTCAGGAACGACAGACCAGCGGATGACAGCCAATCGGCTTCCACTGCGCCTTCCGGTAAATGAGTGACGGCGAACTCTTGTTCCGGCGGACATTCTTCGTCCAGGTAACTGTCGAGTTGCCTTGTTTCCTGGATGATCTTATACTCGTTCCAATAGTCTTCGAAGTCTTGACTCACGTCGGTCTCCATAACCTGCAAAACGATTAAAAGATTGTGTTAGTATTTTAAGCACATATTATATATTATTGAAAATAAAAAAAATAAATATAACTATACTGCAATTTACTATATTACGTGGATGTCATGCTATATAATATGAATGCATATTATAATTAATAGTTAATACTAGGTGATTTTTAATTTGTACCTCATCAGCGTGAGGTGTGTTAAACTTTCAAATATTTATATACAAGGTGATTCATTAAGTGTATCCGTTGTTTTATGGTTTCACGGACTTTCTATTGGGCACAGTATTACTCCACCACAAAAACTAATCAGACATTCTCAATGAATCACCCTGTGTATTTAAATATGGTTTAAACTTAGTTAATTTACACTTAAATATTATAGCATATATAGGTACAGAATGGGGTTATTAAGAATTAAGACATCTTATTATAATAAATGTCGGAAAATCAAATTGAGTTTTTAGAAAAGTCGAACATGTCGTAAAATTGTATATTCTTGTGTGATAACTTTTATTTATCTTTAAATTAACGATAATTATAATAAATTATATCTTATCCTAGAACGGAATCTGGTTTTAAGTTGAACAATAAAATAATTAACATAAATTATAGAAATATTCATCTCTTGTATTTTATTTACATTAATTAAAACACTTTTTGAAGGTTTTATTCCTTGATATTTTAATAAGTTGCAGTTTTATTTTTGTAATAGTTTGAGTATAATGTCATTAAAACGAAATATGGTTTTAACTTAAAATGTTTAATTTAGTTAAAAAAAATGTAACAAAGATTATTTACAAGTTATACAGGTATATATTTGTTTAGATAAAATTTGTTGACGCTAAAATCTTCAAACAAAAGAATTATAACTATTTATAAATATTAGACAATATATTTTAATTTTGAACAGTTTGAACATAAATCATAATTTACAGAACCACAGGGCTTTCGGACAGTCTGAGAAAGTTTCCAAACTTGTTGGCATGTTTCAAATGGCTATAAGTTCATATCAGATAACCCATATTCTTATTAATATGTTACTTAGATAGTGGAACATATATAAGTGGAATTAAACAATTTTCCTTCGATATTTATTACAGTCGTTCATTTTTTAACTCTCCATATCATCAATAATTAATGAAGAGAAACATTTATCTAGGTATCACTGCTGCTGCTGCTGCTAAATTATAAATGGTGTATTATCCAGTAATTGGAAAATATCTGAGTTTAATGTTGGAATTTAAACATTGATAAATTAGAAAAATCGATTAATCGATCGATTATTTACTTTGCAGGGTGGGATCATTAATTAGTGCGTAACACACGGAGAGTTTCACCGATCACGAAAAAGCTCTGCACCCATCTACCGGACACGTTCGATGGGTGTCGTATTATATGGTGAAAATTCTAGAAAAACCACTTTCAACGACTTGACATATTACATTATGTACCTATAATAATAATATAGTTATATGGTTTTCGGTGTCAACACGCGACGTAACCTAACCCATCAGCATAAGCAATGTAATTCTCAGGGTGAAAAGTATAAGCATACTGCTAATTGGATTCGTTCACAGAGTGCGTATGCAAATACCTATCACAATATTATGTACTACATGTAGACGACTAGACGAGGAAGCCCTTCGAGTAGTTTTGACAAACATTCGAAACTAATTATCGCACACGTGGTATATACCTAATTCATTATACTCACGTCCATATGTTTCTTTTGTCCAGTTATACATGCGAATATAAATGGGTAGGTACCGTCATTGCACGTGGGTCGCATATACGCACAAAGTGATTATTTTATCCCGAACCAGGAATGTAATTGATTTTTAAATAATTTTAAATTACAAGAACTAATACTGATAAAATATTAGTTCTCGCACTTCTTATGCGTTTTAAATGAAATAAAAAACGGGATTTAAAAATTCCTCGAATCACGATAAAGTGGTCACTCTGTGTGTATGTACTTCAGTACTTCACCGTCGGGTATATTATGTACTATAGTATATATGTATGTAATATAGTACCTATACACGTTCGGCTAACCAGACTAGGACCAGAGGGCGGAGACCGTCGATTGCGTCCCGCAAAGTATAACCTAGCCGAGGGAAAATCTACCGTGGTATGATTATGACAACCACGGCGGGAGGTGTATATACACAGTTTTGTTTTAATCGCAGGTACCTATAGCGATCATTATTATTACATACCGACGATGTATATGTATATGGACTGCATGGCATATTCGCGTACCCATGTACAATTATTATTATATTACGAGGGGTTTGTTGATCTCTGATGCATAATAATAATAATATTATACAATGCGTGCAATTTATATTCTACTCGTCGTCGATCGGCGCACAACGAGGTGCCCATACTGCGCGAAAAAATTGAATTCCGACCGAGTGTCCCTCGAGGGGGCGGCTGACTGTATGTGCGCATAATACGAATTCGGTGCAGTACAAACGCATCAAATTATATGATGGCCAGGAAACCCAGAAATAATATTGTTCGTTGGATTCTCGTGTGGAGGATATTGTATTGTTTTAACGGCGAGCGAGCGAGTCGGTTGATCGGATTTGTGAAATGTATTGTTATACTGTTTATTTGCCCACGGCATTATGCCGTAATTATTGTAGGTAGAATATAGGTACTATTTATACTATTACACTATAATGCGTCATCGCCTAACAACCTCAATAATAATATTATAGGTTGAATTGTAAAAATGTAATTTTCCCAGTTCGTTTGTGGAGTGCAAACCATAATAATATAATATAATGTAAGTAAAAAAATAAAACTACACGATTTCATATTATAATTTATCGCTAAGCCTAAAAATTGTTTAAAAAATGAGATAGGTACACATGACTACATGAGTTAGGCTGTATACTGTCGTACTGCACGTGTATTATATTATTTGAAATATATTTTATATAATAAATCATAACAAACGATTTCGAGTGGATCTTGGTTTACCCAAAAATGGCCAAGACGCCATCAGACTGCGGTGCTATGATAATATATTGTTTACACGTCTTCGCCGATTCGTTACAGGTTTTCGAGGGTGTTTAAGTATACTTATTAGGCAATTTCTAAATCTACATAGAACTTTAAGCACCTATACCACTTGTATTAAATTTACAATTAATTTTCGAAGCTATGCAAAAAATACCTAACTACTTTACTGTTGGAAAAAGCGTTTCCATAACTTTGTCAAATCACGTCTGTCTAGACCTTTATTTCAAGTCAATTTTATATGCATAGATTATAATTGCAGGATGTTCAATTATGTGTCATGATGAACGAATTTTTAAGGTCAGGCAAAACGGATGTTTTTGTAATTTATCTTTCATTAAATGTGATTTGCATTTTATGTGTTGAATTATTGATAGCTCTTGTAATTTTTAGGTCGTAAAATATTTTCATTAGATATCATTAATATCAACAAGAGCAATACAAAATTAATAACTACATAGGTATACGTATATAACAGTGCACTATAGGTACCTAAGTTGGGACTGGTGACTGGGGAAGTATACTTAGATACAACTACTTTCAAATTTATCATTATATTGTTCTTTATTTGGGGTTATATTTTCACAATCCTAAGTATATTAAGAGTCATAAACACTTAATGTAAAAATAATCACTTGAATTATTTTACGCAGTTCTTAATAGAAAATTGGTTACTGTGTATTCTGTTGGTTGTTGGTACCTATAATGTATTTGGATTTTTTTTGTCAAAAATCGATTTTTGTATCTAATGGGAGAAATAAAAAAGAACAAAGTTTATATTTGATACAACAATTATAGAAGTGATGTGACTATTAGTTATAATTAATTTTTTATTTTTTTAATAACATAAATACTATTATCTTATATAAACAAAATTATAATTGCTATTTTTTTTTTTTTAAACACAAACCTCAATCAATATTAGTAATAAATTCATAGAATGAAAATAACCTACTAGTATACCAATATTTTCAAAACCTGTAAAAATATTGTACACGGGAATTGTTTTTAATTATTTAATATTTAATGCGGGATATAATCTACAAAACTAATTAGGTAGGTACCTGTATTTTAAACGACTTAATTATTAAATACATCTTTGATATAATAGAAAATGTACAAAGGTATCATCATTATGTCAGAGTCACGTATAAACTATCTCGTCCTTCACCCTTAGACCAATAATTGGATCGTTATAATTTACAATTGTATCGTCAGCCATATATGTTTATTGTTTAATCCACCTCACAGCACGCGGGGATAATATGACCTGCAGCTTCAGGTTTAGCCAAAAGCGTTCACATATAGGGTTTCATCTTTCATTATAATCATTATAAGATTTTTTTTTTCATGAAACCTATACAAAAAGAATTATGTATTAAACGTCTTTAGTTCTTCACAAATGTAGCAGTCAATTAACCTTTATTATTTTTTTTAGTTTATACTCTGAAGATACATTTTTTGTGAACCGAAAAATACTTTTTGTTAACCAAGAAAACATAATTTAGAAAGATACAATGACTGTAAGAAGAACTGGTTACAGTTATAGGTGAACTTATAGTACCTTAAATTGATAGTTTTCGGACAATAATCTCAAAATGAAATTATTAGGAAAATAAAATTTCCTTAGTATGCACCTAGGCAATTACAATTTTAATTAGGTACCTGTAATAATATATAATATATAGTAGCTCAAGTATAATTAATAAAAAAAAGTGGGGAAAACGTTCTGATGTATAGTATCTGTTTTCTAGTGTACCTTGTTATTGTAGGTAGGTCACTGTAATAGATGTGTTCAATTTAAATTCATTGATAAATCATTGCTTGCAACAAATATTTCTGAGCGGAAACGGTGTGTCATCCTCTATTTGTTATAATGTTGTATAATTTATTAATATTAATATTATTATAGTTTCTTTTTGTATTAGTAATACAGTAAGTTGAACTAATATTTGCCACTACATCTTATACATC